AGTAATGCAACTTTAAACAACATATCATTGATCTATCACAAGTAGTTCTTATCAAACTGACTTAAGCAGAAAACTTAACATTGAAAATTGTTAATTCATTCAAAGTCACTGGAGTATGATCTAGGGGACTGTTGCATAAGTCCTTGTCAACACAATCATTGGAATTATTTAAGACACAACTCAGAATCACTATGTAACATTTATTTTACTCTAACCTTCAAATTACAAATCTATTTCTTTTATACACAATACAACTCCGTTTCTCCGTTGACGATATGTCATGTGAATAAATTACATAAATAATAGACAATTAACGGAGTTATGAATACAATGAACGGATCATTAAATTACATAAATAATAGACAATAAACGGAGTTATGAATATAATGAACGGATCCCTAAGTTACATAATAATAAATATGGAGCACATTCAAAAGATGAAAAGAAAATAAATCGCGGTTCGCGACACTCCCGACAAGAAATCTGGTTTTTAATTATAATGTTCAGAATATTGTTGTTCTGTTTCGATTTTAGAAAAAACTTCATCTCCATTGATATAAGAAACAGTCCTAGAAAATTTTAATACAATTGTTTGTGTTTTGGTTGTAACATGTGAAATCTCTACAGCAGTTTCAGGATTGTCACGGCATTCTTCATCACTTATCACAATTACTTCATTATCTGTACTATTATTTTCGACACTGTGTTCAAAAGTATCAGGAGATGAAACGTCTTCGTATGGTGTCTTCGTTTCCATCAATCCTTCAATTTCCGTACTTGAAAAACAATCATCAAAATTGAAATTTTCACATATATTATTATTTTCATCATGAATTACATTTTCACTTTCATCACTTGATAAGAATTCATCAATATTAAAATCTTCCCCACTATCATCTTGAATATCATTTAGGTCTTGTAACAAATCTAGAATTGTATCGTCATCGCTTATGTCTTCGTAGTATTGTTTTTTTGGTGTTTCAATATCTCCTCTATTGGCCTCTATAGCTTTTCGTCTGGCATCAAGTTTTGGAAGTTGATGTATAGAACACAAATGTCTAAACAGGTATTCCTTACGAATGAATTTTGCAAAACATCCATCTTCTGTGTAATTCCAATGTTCATGGATTTTGGAATGATTTACTTTTACATGTCGATTCAGATTTCTTTTATACTTGTATTCCCGAGAACAAAAATTGCATCCAAACATATCGGTATATTAATGGCGTGAGATATCTTATATAAAATGATTTTCTTTAAATAGGAATATGTAGAAAAGGCGCATGAAATTCACGTGCATTTTTCGTTAAATAAACGACTCCGTTGAGGTATTTAAACATCTCCGTTAGAACATAAACAAACAGGTAAATTTAAATGTCTTCGATAGTATATAATCAATAATTTAAAAAATGACTCCTCTAGTTCAGTCTTGTTACAATTATTTACAATGTTAAATTATATACACTCTCCCGAAATCAAACTATTATTCCCCGTAAAAATCTTTGATATTACGTCTAGCCTTTTCAGCAGACTTCCTTACAGGTCTCGTTTCAGCAGATTCACTGTGAGACGTATTCTCCTCCTCCAACTCTGGTTTTTCTTCAATTTCCAAAGGGTATAATAAATTCAGCGGACGACTAATAACTTTTCTTGATGAAAGAACTACTTTCGCTGATCTAATCTCACCATCATTACTATGAATTAACTGTACTAGTCTTCCTAATTTCCACACTTCTCTTGGAAGGTTGTCTTTAATTAAGACAACATCTCCAACGATTGGAGCATATGGTGATTTCACTCTACCACACTTTAACTTGGTCTGAGTTCTTTCTCTCAAACTTTATAAATATTCATCCCTCCACATTGTCCAAAACGAATCCAAAAGTTTTTGTCCTTTTTTCCACATTTTAAGTAATTTGTCAGTTGAACTTTCAACAGGTGAGTAACTTTGGTCATTTATATCATATTCAATTTCTGGAATACCAATATTTGGGTTCAATGTGAGAAAGTGGCTTGGCGTGAGATTAATATTTGAATTCACATCATCCCCTATGTAAATTAATGGTCTGGCATTAACAATTGCTTCAGTTTCTTTAATAACTGTTAGTAGTTGAACGTCGCTGACTAACCTTCCTTTCAGAACTTTTCGCAAAGAACGTTTTACCACTCCAACAAGCCTTTCGTAAAAACCTCCCATCCATGGTGCTAATTCCGTTATAAACGTCCAGCGAATGCCAGCATTAGACACATAGTTTTGAACGTCATCACTTTTAATCACTTTCTTCCAAACTAAATCTAAAGTTGCACTACCTAACTTGAACTGGGCTGCATTATCACTTAGAATATTGCATGGAGCACCTCGAATTGATACGAATCTTCTAAATGCGTACAAAAATTCTTCAGTTGTCATATCATTCAACAATTCTAAATGTATAGCACGTGTAACAAAACAGGTAAACAAACATACCCATCTTTTCTTGTTCTCGCCATCAAATTTTACATAGATCGGTCCTAGATAATCTAGGCCAGTACTTGCAAATGGAATGGATTGTGATACTCTAGATCTTGGATATGGGGGCATCTTAGGCATTCGGTAAGGTCCACCTTCAAACTTGCGACATACCAAGCAATGTCGTAAAACTTGTCTAACTGTGGAACGACCTTGTGGGATCCAGTACTTGTGTCTTATTTTACTGAGAGTTTGTGATACACCACTATGAAAGAGGTCTTTATGTATTCTTTCAATGATCAAACGCGTGAAGTCCTCCCCACGCGGAAGAAGAATCGGTATTCTAGCTGCTTCACTCAGATCTGCATTTTCGAATCTCCCTTTACAAAGTAAAAAAACCATCATCAGATATGAAAAGCCCAAGTTGATTTCGTAGGTTGTTTGTTTTGTTTTCACATATTGCACTAAAAATATCTGAATAATTCCTCCTTTGTACAAATCTAATCCATTTTTCTTCTGCAATTTTTAGTTCCTCGCATGTCAAGATTTTGCTAGTCTTTACTGAAATTTTCTTAATTCGTGAAATGAATCGATCAGCCCATGCTGTCACTCGTATAAGTTTGTAATACGATGAGAAATTGTTGCACTGTATTCCATACGGTGTTTCAATCTGATTTTCTTCAATTTCTTTGGTACAGAGCAATGCACTACTTTCTGTTGTTTTCTTTCCTACTTTCAACTCACATTTATATTCTTCTTTAGCTAATAAATCTTCACAGGTGAATATTTTCCAATGATGAATGTCATTCAAAAGCCACTCGGGACCGTGCCACCACAGACTATTGTCACAGAGCTGTCTAGTCGATGTTCCTCTTGTTGCAACGTCTGCTGGGTTTTCTTTGGTGGAAACATACAAGAATCTAACATCTTTATGATTTTTGATTTCCGTTATTCGATTTTTCACAAATACACCAAGGTCCTTTTTTGTCGAAATCCACGTTAAAACACACTGCGAGTCTGTCCAAAGATATATCGTTTCAATGGGTACATTTAATTCACTTTTAACGAATGCTAAACACCTGACACCTATCAAAACACCCATCAATTCCAGCCTCGGAATAGTCATCCCTTTTACTGGAGCTAACCTTGATTTTGAAAATATTAGATCACACTTACTATATTTCGAACCAGTTTGATGCAAATATATAACAGTCGCATACGCACTCCCAGAGGCATCACAAAAACATAAAAGCCTATATTGAACTTTATCTTCCCCAGTCATAAAACCAATACTTCTTGAAATTTGGGATTCGAACACCTTTTGTAGTTCTGTTTGAATAGAACCCCATTTTAATGAGTCTGTTCCTTGTAATTCTTCATCCCAACGTAAGTGTTTCTTCCACAAATCCTGAAGAAATATTTTACCACTTATAAGAATAGGAGAAAATAATCCTAGCGGATCGAACACTTCTGATATTTCCTTTAATGTCTTCCGTTTTGTTATGTTTCCTGAGTTGATAGAGGACTGAGAATGTTTCACAGATATTGTATCATTTTCAATATTCCACAGATGTCCAAGAACTTTGGTTTGATTCACCTTTGGCTTGTCTTCAGGTAGAAGGAAATCATTCACTGACTGGCTATTCGAAATCCATTCTCGTAGATTCATTGAAGCATCCTTAAATATTTGTTTTGATTCTGAGTAATGTGTCAAAGCATCTGTTACGGTATTTGTACCAGTAATGAGATTATCCACATAAATGTTATTTCTAATTAGCTCTGCTGTAGGCGTATTATACTTGTTAGGATGACTGTCAATGGTAGCTGCAAGAAGGAATGGACTAGATATTACACCAAAGGGAACACGGCAAAAACGAAATTCCTGAATATTTTCATTATTTAATGAAAAATTCTCACTATCTTTTAACCATAAAAATCTAGTTACATCTCGATCGCTGTTTTGAAGCCCGACTTGAAGAAATGCCTTCTCAATATCTGCAACAAGAGCTATTCTGTGAAGCCTGAATCTTATTACTAGTAATATACCACAGAGATTGCGAAGCATAACTGGACCACGATATAGACACTCATTTAAGCTGTTGACATCCTTGTTCATCTTAGCAGAAGCATCATACACTATTCTCAGCTTAGTTGTCGATTTTTGTGGAGTTATAACTGCGTGGTGTGGAATAAAATGTTTTCTTCCATCAACTTTCTTCTCGTCTACCAATTCGATTATACCTTTCTTTAACTGATCTTGGATAACTGAATTATATTGAGTCATCAACTCTGGTTTATTTCGCATTCGCGCAACACACGACTTCAATCGACCCATGGCAAGTTCTCTATTCACTGGTAGTTCATAATTTTCTTCTTTCCATGGCCATTTAACAAAATACCTTCAATCTGTCTAGTAATTCCTATCGAATCTAAATTCCAAAGGTCTGTAATGTCTGGTATTACAGAAACCGAAGAATCAGTTGTATTATGGTTTGTCATCGTCATAACACCTGTATTTGAAAGGATCAGCAATCCAGTTTCAGTTTTTTCGTCATCCATTTTCCGTGATCTTCCTGTCAATATCCATCCTAATTTTGATGCCAACAAGTTGTATTTCTATTCTCTGAGACAATATCAAATCCAAATAATAATCATTGCCAATTAACAATTCCACTGCAGAAGACTCACTCCGTAATGGAATATCGTCGGCTACTTCCACATCCTTTACGAAATGTTTTAAATGTTCCACAGATGAAATATCAATTCTTTTCCTTTGAACACTCCCACTAATGACTGGCACAATATTGGCAACAATACTGAAAAATTTCCCGTTGTTAAGTTTGATGTTCAATTTTGTTGAAGATGTCTTCACAATTTTCGGTTTATCACTGCCGAATGTTACAAGTTTTATTTCTTCTTCTTTTTCACCTTTCAGTTTGAGTTTGGTGGCCAGTTTCTGGGAAATATACGTCCTCTGTGATCCAGAATCAAATAAAATTCTTGTTTCTTGTTGCATAGAATTAGTAGGATTCCCAATTTTAGTTTTTGCTGTTTGCATCAAAACCATTTCACTAGATGAAATAAACACATTTTCATGAACAACTTCACATCCTTCATCAGAATAAGCGTTTAAGTCTATACCATTGACACATTCTTCTGTGAAATTACCACTATATTCTTCTGACAAATGAACACTAGTTAATTTCAATTTGAATTTCTTCGGACATAAACTTCTATGGTGAGAATCTCTTTCATTACAATGGATGCATATTTTGTTTCTTTTGCAATCAGCTGATTGATGTCCATATTTTAGACATTTGTAACAACTTCCTTTTAATTGTCGTTTGCGTTCCTCAATACTTTGATACTTTGGGCATTCATCACTCCAATGTTGTTGATAACAATATCTACATTTGTCAAAATAAGATATGTTACTTGGTTTATTATCTGTAGTTGCCACTAATGCTTCAGCTGACTTTACTAATTGACCATTTCGATTACCATTTTGATATCTGGAATTTTTTGTCTGCCAATGTTTATTCTTCGGACGGAAATTCTGTCCTCCGTTGAACGCTTTGTTGGAAGCTCCGTTGGACGCTCCGTTGGATAATTCTTTGGGTGTCTCATTTTTATCAGACTTTTCTCTCGCAACCACATAATCACGTAATTTGTCACATAAACTCATAACTGTCCATTTTTCTTGTGATCCCTTTTGAATTTCTAACTGAAGAAGAACTTCCTCTGGTAACTTGCTTTTAACCATAGATACAAATATGTCTTGACTCACATTTTGCTTTAGCACTTCTAAACTACGTAAATGACGGTTTAATGTATTTAAGAAATTTCTTAGAGAAGAAGTTTTGTTTGACGCCGATTCTAAATTAATCATCTCATTATAATGTAAATCAATAACAACCTGAATGTTTCCAAATCTTTCTTGCAAAATTGAAACTGCAACTTCGTAATTATCATTTGACAAGTTTAAACCTGATATTGCTTGTTTCGCTTCACCACCAAGTTTACTTTTCAAAAAATTGAATTTCTCAACCTTCGAAAGCTTTTTGTTCTTGTGTATAGTGCTTTCAAAAGAATCCCAGAATTCTATCCATTTGATTTTGTCACCATAAAATGAAATAATATCTATCTTTGGCAGTTTCACAAATGACTCATCGTTTTCTTTCCTTTGTTGTCTAATCAATATTTCATTTTGCTGTTTCATTTGAGTTTCAACTATATCTTTCATTTCTCTTTGAAGTTCAACTATTTGGATAGGATTGAAATTTTCATATTTTTCACCACTTTCCTGTTTGATAAATTCAACTAACCTTTCTTTGTATTGCTCCAAATCCAAATAACAATCCGTAGCCTCAGAGCACAGTTGACAATCCTCTTCTACTACATTTTCAATTTCTTCTGTTTCTTCTTCTCCAAGTGCACTGGCCACTTTACCGCTCTGAACTTCCAATTTGTTTACATAAAGTTTCAATTTTTCAACACACTTTGACGACTTCAGCACATATTGCTGATGTTCAGGAAGAGGCACTTCAGAATTGATAATTCCAATCGAATTTCCATTTGAAGACAATTACGATATCTTGTTCTAACACCTTTAAGATAACTAGAAGCTGGAATTTTGCACAATATTTTGTTAACTCACTTTGTAATTTGTTTTTCACTCCCGGGTTCCGGCACCAAACAATGTTGCATAAGTCCTTGTCAACACAATCATTGGAATTATTTAAGACACAACTCAGAATCACTATGTAACATTTATTTTACTCTAACCTTCAAATTACAAATCTATTTCTTTTATACACAATACAACTCCGTTTCTCCGTTGACGATATGTCATGTGAATAAATTACATAAATAATAGACAATTAACGGAGTTATGAACACAATGAACGAATCATTAAATTACATAAATAATAGACAATAAACGGAGTTATGAATATAATGAACGGATCCTTAAGTTACATAATAATAAATATGGAGCACATTCAAAAGATGAAAAGAAAATAAATCGCGGTTCGCGACAGGGACAGGGCCTCGAAATAGTCGTCAAAATGATATGAACTGATAGTAATGCAACTGCATACAAAATATCATTGATCTATCACAAGTAGATCCTATCAAACTAACTTAAGCAGAAAACTTAACATTGAAAATTGCTAATTAATTCAAAGTCACTGGACCATGACCTAAGGCCCGGGTGGGGGGGGGGGGGGGGGGCTCGAAATAGTAATGCACTTTATATCAAATATCAATGATCTATCTATCACAAGTATTTCTATCAAACTAACTTAATTAAAACTAAACAATTGTTGACGCCGTCGCCGGAAAATCAATCCCTATGTCTGGCTTTCCGCGACTTTCGTCGCAGGCGAAACAAAATCTAGATAATATAAGATATCTTTCTCATAAATAGTTTTTATATAAGATATCTCATATAACATGTAAGATATCTTATATACTATATAAGTTATCTCATATACTATATATGTTATCTCATATACTATATATGTTATCTCATATACTATATAAGATATCTCATATAATACATAAGATATCTTATAAAGAAAATTTTATGAGATATCTTATAAATTATATAAGATATCTCATATAATATATAAGATATCTTATAAATTATATGAGATATCTTATATAGTATATGAGATATCTTATATACATTATAAGATATCTATATAATTTATAGAAAAGTATATAATTTATATAAAAGTATATAAGATATCTCATAAAGCATAAAAGATATGATATATAAAAACTAGATTATATAAGATATCTTGAAGTTGGAATAAATAGTAAAACGGCTTGCCATAATGACGTGATATCTAGAACCTCGAAGGTGCTGTTGGCAAAACACGCGTAGCCTGATCCGTGTATCAACAGTCGTTTGGCCAGATAATATTTGACCTGATTCATGTCGTATTTCTTCTTTTAGTTTTTTATAGACGCTTTTATCCTTTTCATTCAGTATGAGCCTCCGATGAGATCTCTGTATGTATTGTTTATAACTTTATCAAGACGATCGAAAACGTAAACAAATTTGTGTTTGGAGAATTCGTCTGATCGCTGATCATCGCCATGTATTCTACCATCGTATGAACGAATATGTCGACGTCAGACTCGACGATGAATTGTGGTTCGGTGAAATCGGGTTCGTTTCTACCTACAGAAACGGAAATGGTTTCATGTCCCCATTACACGTTAGTTTCGCAAAATTGAGTGAACAACATGGAATGACACCAATTGAAATAACCGGAGATTCCTGGGCTGATTTCATTCTAACTCCCGAAATTCGTCTTTGATAAATAAGAAGAACAAGGTATAAATGTTGTTCACTCGGTGAAAATGTCGGTCGCAGGTTCCGCATTGGTACTTCTGTGTATAGGCCGGTAGATTTAAAATATAAGAGAGGAGGAGCTCGTACAGAATAAGGTGCATAATATTTTTATAGTAACAATTTGACTTGTAAACGGTGAGGGCGAACCCGTCGTCTCTTGACTGGTAAACGTTGATGTTGACGTTGAGTTTGTAATGAATGTGAATTCAGGATAGTCTCCCTTTTTTAGATCCAGATTAGTAATTCCTTGATTAAACGTTTATTTTTTGTTTAACTTGTTTAAACATGCTTTACTATTCTAACTATAAAGGTATTCATATTTCAAGTCACTTTATATATTTGATGAATATTCATTCATTCGGTATTTCTTCAATCCTATATCATTATATACATCTTTGAAAGTGATAAGTTTTTCCTTAAAACTGGATCAGAAGTTGCTGCTGTGCGGAGAACGTGTGTAAGCGCAGGCAGTGTAACAGTTCCACTCTTCATATTCAATACGAATCAATCTTAATTAGGCTACAGCTCGCAGGAATCCGTTGGATTTGATTCCCCTCAAGTTATTTATCAGCAACTACAGGGGTATTATTTTGGTACGATTTACTAAATTCTAAAAACGCAACGGGAACTATTTAATTACATTTACTTTTTGAACTTATCTTTTGAATTACTATTCTTTATTATTTCATTTAACTAGGTTTTACTTGATTGTTGTACATTTGTAAATAAAATGTTGAGGTCATTTTGATTTAAGTCTCTGATCAACTAACATCTTCTACCAGGTATCCCAATGATCGAATAGGTCGAAGAACTAGCCACTACACGTGCAAGAAGGTATCCTCAATGACCCACTCCTGTTACAATTTCAAAAATATATATAAATTCATGAAAAATTTGCTAGAACTGACTGTTAAATCTGTTTTTAGCATAAATTCAAAGCAAAGTTATGTTCTCTATACAAAAGACCTTTATAACAATAAAATCACAGCCTTTACAGGTTGAATTATCTGTTTTATGCCCTGGGGCCTCAAATTTGTTAAATATTTCTCCTATATCTATCAGTATGGAATATTAAGTATATTTTTAAGAGAGAACACACAATTATAAAATTTATAGAAGTATCTTTTATTGAGTAATTTTGTATCTCTAACTTGAATTAATTCACGACAAAGCACGTTCAGATGTTACGGCTTACTTATTGACAGGACAAAACACCATAAAACAATGTTCATTAAACACCAATGAGTTTGAATGACTGTGAAAAGTAAATATAAGCACTTCTTATCAATCTGAAGTACATATATGCCTATTTCATGAAATTACTTTGCATACAGGGCTTAAGATAAACTATGCACACTGCAAACTGTAGAGTTATGCTGGGTCATTATATCTAAGGCACAGCTGGATTTTCTCAATCTCAATGAAATATTCATAAAACTTTATATTTGGGTTAAATTGCTTAAAATCTCTGACGATATAGCAGATTTGGTAAAATTCTACATGATCTCTTTTTTCACACAATATACATACATTTTTTCGAAAAGAAAAATCTGGAAAACACTTTTTATCACAACAATACTCATTTACCAGACTCATAGCCCAAAAGAAATCACTACTCTTACTTTGCTTTTAAAGTACATTTAATACTACCCAACTCCGAAACAAAGAATTTAAAAACAAAGGCTTTAATCATTGTCAGCCCACCCTATGTCCATGTTTTCTTACATGAAATGCCTCGAACCTGTATGAAATTTCCCTGATAACAAATTGAAAGCATTTCAGAATACTATAAATGTTAAGTTTATAGTTAATCATTTATTTTTTTAGATAATATGAGGTTTCCATTCCTGCCACTTTCTCCGAGTCCACATCATACTGTATGCCCATTTATCTTTAAAAGTTCCCAAAATCTGCCTAAATTGTTCATTTTAGAAATCTTGTCACAATCTTATCATCTTTAACCATATATCTAACATAATTTGGCTAATAAATCAGCTATACAGTCTAAGGTTAAAGTTTTTCAGTTAAGACTTTAACTTTGTCAAACCTTCATGGAATTCTACATACGTTGGACAGAAGCTTTTTTATAATCAAAAGACAGTGTCCCAGAGCGAAACTTTGTTTTTTTTTTTTTTTTATATATTTCAGTATTTTACTGAGAGATGGACTTGGTTTTTTGGAGTTAATATTTACAGACATTAAATTTGTTTGGCATGATCAATTTTGTAAACCTTCAAAGTTTGTTATGAAACTTGGACAAAGGCTAATCTTCAAGATCAAGAAATAACGAAAAAACAAATTATTTTTTGGGGGGATTCTGTATTTTACTAATAAATGAACTATTTTTTTTACAGACAACATTACTTTTACACTTGCAGTAACAATCGCAGGCGAGACAG